AATCTTTAAGCTTTTTTATAGAAAAATAACAAATTGGAAATAATTCGAAAAATTAATATTTTTGGTAATCTTCTCTTTTATTAGTAATTACGGATTTCCCTCTTGAATATATCTTAATGAGTATATACTTGATTTGTTGGTGATAGTTTCAACTAGTATTAAAGATACATTTTTTTCTCAAAATTTTTAATTCTTTTTTTTTTCTTAGTAGGAGCAAAGAAATCTTATTTTTAGAGCACACTTTTTTATATACCATATTGTTGACAACAGTATGCCATTTTTTCTATCAGATATTACATTCAAAAAACATTGATTTTTTTATTTTCTAAATTATCACTGATATAATTTTGCAATTGCAAAATTTAACTGGTAAAATTTCTTAATTAGATCACAATGAATAAGAAACAATGAATGAAAAAGATCAACATTAATTTTTTTGTGAAAATAAAAACTTCGTCATTTTTTGTGTTTCTGCACAAGATATGCAATAATCATAAAATTTATATGCTTTAATGATATAATTTAAGAAATTTATTTAAATTGGAACGATATTTAAAGTAAATTATAGTAGTATAGGGTTGGCTTATAATGGAAGTCTTAGTTGTAGAACAAATTTTGTCGTAGGTAGTGAAAATTTTGCTAAATAACATGAGAATGTAAAAACGAGATAAAACCTCTCCTCAAGTCGGTTAAGCGGGCCGAATGTAAGTGTATAAAAATAATTTTCGTATGTGCTGGCTGAACTGAACATGGGAAGGTAGAAATTCGATGATTAAAAGATTTTAAGAATATGTAGAAATTATTTTGTAAAAAGGCGATTCATCTGTTGCGAAATTAGAAGATTTTGTTTGTAAGAGCATCTTAATTACTCAGAAAAGCGATTTGGTGGAATTCTGATCAGTTTTATATGCATAGGACAATAATAAAAATATATAAATAAAGTTCTCAAATATTGAAAGCATATTGGTAAATGATATGAAGTATTGAATTATCGCAAACTCATTGAGATTGTGTAAAATACGGGTATGTTATAATTGAGGTTTTGGATGAAAGAAACAAATTTAATGGTTTCAGGTATGCAAAATTAAGGTTTGCAGCAGTTTTGAAATATTATAATGATTATGATCGAGAAAGAAAAAAAGATGCACCAAAATATAGGAAGTTTGATGAGCACCATAAGATATTTGAGTAAAAAGTACTGGTATGATTTTGTTTGAAATTTAAATAATAATACTTTTTTTATTTCTAAATATAATTATTTTTTAACTTTATTATGGTAGAATTCAAAAATACTCTAGACCTTGGAAATGTCATTGATGGATGGTAGTGGGGAAAAAATAGGTTTTCAGAGGGTATTTGTCAAACAAAATTATACCAACAAGGTTTATTTTGAGTTCACAAATTCAATGAACCTTATTCATAATCATAAACTAAGTCCGATTTCATTCTTTCATAAGACAGTTGATAAAATAAAGTTCACATACACAATACCAAAATTGCAGAGTATTTTAATAGAAAGAAAAATATTCAAATCACAACTCAACAAGTATCATATTTGGTAGATAAGAATAAATACAAAAAATCCAGAAACAGATAAATTAATTCATAAAATGATTAACGAGAAAGGAGAGTATAAGCTATACCCACCAGATGAAGAAAATAAAATTAACTACAGAAAAACTATAGCAACATTCACAGTAAATGATTTAAATAATTTGAAGAATGATGGTGATATGATTTGCCTTGACCCTCCTTATCCATCACTCACGTCAAATTGGACATCGATACCAATTTCTTGGGTTGGCTCAAGTAGGGATTTGTTATCTGGAGGGGTAGTTTTTTTCAGCAATGTCACGGCTGATCTCTATGAATGGATTATTAAAACACTAATTTATGATTTGCCATGCGCTCCAATATTAAAAATTATATGTTCCGCCGATGATCTTATTTTGGATTCAGCTTGGAATCAAATAATCCATAATCCGAAAAGTTGCCATATATAAAGAATAATTTGTATATGGTACAAGTATAAACAGTTTAAAGATCTCATTAAAAAGTCAGGTTTGTTTGCCAAGGACCAATGCGAAATTCTGGAAAAGTTCATTGAACTTTTTTCAACCAGAAATTGCACTAAATGCAATGATTTAGTTAAACAAATAAAAAGTAATCATCAATTGAAAATAGATTAAATACTTCAACGAGAGCATTTACGAAAAATTTGGTAATACAGCTATATATTGATGTTAAGCCTTTAATTTTTGGAACAGATGAGTCGGGTTTATTTATTTATTTTTTTCATTTTTGGTGATCTTTTATCCGTTACTTGATTTCAAAGCTACTTTACAAAACAAATAATAATTGCATTTTATAATAAATATATGCAAGAAATTTTTTTATAATATAAAAAATAGAAAAATATTTGGATTAAAATTAATGAATATTTATATATTTGTGTTTTAAATAATAACAGGAACTATTCAATTATTCACTAGGTTTAAAGTAGGAAATTCGTCAATAATTTTTTTAATTAAAACATTTTATATTTTTATATATATTATACTTGGATTATATAATGATTTATGTAATTATTTATATGTTCATTTTCAAGATATGAATTTAATATATTTTTGTGAGTATAAATAGCTTTCCTTCTGAATTTTTATACTTTCAATAGAAATATAAAAATATGATTATTTATTCATAAAAATGTATTATATGCCTATATTAATATTCATATCAGTTAAAACATATTTTATTAGTTTATATTTTAAATTATTATATATTTTTAACTCTTATGATTAAGAAAATTAATATTATTTTTCAATATATACAAATTAATAAAAAATCAATTGAATTTAAAATCATATTTCATTAGATCGTTCTGAAATATCTGATACTGGCTTGCGTGTTAGAATTAAAACTAGAAAATACTATAAATACAAAATAAAAGTCAAAAAGAATTGTGAAAACAAAAATATATTATTAATTGGCTACAAAAAATATCTGGTGGCATTTGCACTTGATATGATTCCGAGAAAATCTTTATTTGGAAGAAATGATTCTGGAATTATTATATCAGTAAATGATGAACATTCATTGAATGCACCTTCACCAATTGATGTAACTGACGTTGGAATTGTAATTTTCGTTAATGATCAACATTCATTGAATGCTCCTTCAAAAATTGATGTGACTGATGTTGGAATTGTAACTTCGGTTAATGATCAACATTAATTGAATGCGCCTTCACCAATTGATGTAATTGATGCTGAAATTGTAATTTTCGTTAATGATGAGCATTCATTGAATGCAAGTTTGCCAATTGATGTAACTGATGCTGGAATTATTATTTCAGTTAATGATGAACATTCATGAAATGTGGAATCTACAATTGAAGTTACAGAAGATGGAATTATGATTTGTGTTAATGATCAACACTAATTGAATGCGCCTTCACCAATTGATGTAATTGATGCTGAAATTGTAATTTTCGTTAATGATGAGCATAATTGGAATGCATATTCTTCGATTGATGTAACTGATGTTGGAATTATTGTCTCAGTTAATGATGAACATTCATGAAATGTGGAATCTACAATTGAAGTTACAGAAGATGGTATTGTAATTTTGGTTAATGATGAGCATAATTGGAATGCATATTCACCAATTGATGTAACTGATGTTGGAATCGTAATTTGAATCATTTTTTTGCATCCATGAAAACATTTTGGAACAATTTGAATTTTGGTATCAGTAAACAAAAGATTGATTATTTCAATATTGTTTCTTTCTGCTGCAAGATGTAAAGCGGTTACATAAAAAACAACCCAGAATATTTTCATTAAATAAAATATAAATTTTATTTAAATTTATTATTTCTCTTTTATATCAAAATTTTTGTTTTTCAAGAAATTTTCAACAATGTTAATGCATTATCATGGAAATGTAACTTGACTTCTTTTTTCTAGTTCTCGTAAAACGCCAATTCCACCATGATTTAATGGAAAACCAATATCGAACCATATTGATCAACTTTATCAATTGTTGATTTCCATGCATCTGCATGCTTTTGACTATATAATGCACATGTTCTTTTCCACTTTCCCACTTTCCATTGTATAAACGAAGCCAGGAATAATGAGACCAACTTCTCATTTTGCCAAATTTTCAATTATTTTAAAGTAATGAAGGCCTTGGGGTTCCATCAGGTTTTCCCATGAATTCATTGACAGGGGATCTCATGAACTTGTTTTTGATAGTCATTGGGCCGATTTTCAAAGGAGGAAAAAAAAAAAAAAAAAATGAAGTAAAAAATAAATTGATATGATTGTTTCAAATTGAATTGTTTTAAAAAAGAATCTATTCATTAGACCTTTTTATAAAAAGAATTTTTTTTTGCGATAAAGTATACTTTTTAGCGATAATGTCCACTTTTTCATAAAAAAAGAACTTTTTCACTTAAACAAATGAAGCTTTAAATCTTAAAAATAAACTGATAAATCATAATTTATAATAGCCAAAATATATTGTATGCTTGTCTAGAATCATATAACATTGGTTTTAAATAATATTTCTAATTGCTTTGCGTTTTTGTGAAAAAGTTCATTTTTATGAAAAAGTGATCATTATCGCTAAAAAGTATTCTTTATCGCAAAAAAAATTTCCTTTTATAAAAAGGTCTATTATTTTTCAAATAATAATTTCCATTAAAATTTCTCTCTTTCTTTCCTTTTTAATGATTGGACATATAGTTGCGATATTCAAAAATGCATAAAGAAAAAATGGTAGGTCGGCCATTTGAATAGTCATTTTTTTTGTTATGAATTTAATCATATCTGCAAAATAGCATTATTTATGAAGTTGTATTAAATTTTAGATATAAAAACTTATATTGGAATGCTTCTTTGATAAAAAAATAATTTTCACAAAGTTTTATTCATTAATAAAATTAAGGTCTTTTGAAAAAATATTTATATATAATATTACTAAATAAACAGGAAGGTTGTTTGGACCGAGCGGCCGAAGGCATTCGACTTAGGATCGAGTTGACGTGGGTTCGACTCCCACAACAACCATTTTTTTGTCCTTTTTTTCAGATTTGCTATTTAACTCTAGTCAACTTTCCAAAAAAGCTCATGTTATTTTCCTGTATGATTAAGTCTAGTTTATTTTATAAAATTTTATTACAAAGCAGAAAATATGAAAAACCCAATTTTTTTAAAAATTATTTTTATTATAAAATTTAGTATTTATTTAAATTTAGGAAACAAACAATTCCCAGAATCTTTGTAACATAATATATCTTTTTTAAAAATAACCAATCTTGAAAAAGATTATATCATGTTACTCAAATTTCTTGGCATCAGTTTATTTCCATAAAATTTCTATCATAAATCATTAATTACGATAGATTTACTTAGAATTTTTATTTTTGCTTGTAATTTTATCTTTAACATATTTTCTTGATAATCGATCAGCAAGCCTAAGCGGCTCAGGCTCCCTGAAATGACACAATCGCTTGACAATTTCAATTGAGCTATCAAAATCAATGAGATTGCCAGGAGAAATATAAATTGGGCTGAAATTTTCAATTTTTGTAGTTTTCATTACGGCGCAACGAACATTTCTACCATTTTCAATGACATGATTCAAAATAATCGTATCGCCTACATTTTTACATGTTTGTTGAGCTTTTTGAATTACACTTTTTCTAGGGAAATTTGTTCCAATTGATAGAAAATTCTTAAAAACACCAATCGTTGGAATTTGCAGCTCGACACCGACGTAGCTTGCGAGACCAAGTCCACGGGGATGCCATTCTCCACTTCCATCGCATAAAATTACGTCCAATTTGATGTTTGACATATTTTTGCAAAATTCTCGATATAATGAAATAACAACAGGTCCTTCACGAAAGCACAAAAGACCGGCCTGATATTTGAAATCAACTTTCATTTCAGTACATTTTTGGTATATGACTTTTAGGTTGTCTTGACAATCAACAACTACAAAACAACCAACAATAATTCCATCTCTATCTGTTAAATCGGCACCGCCAATGTATCGATACTTGTCAATGCGAGGCGTGTTGTTAATTTTAGATTCCATACTACATTGAATTTTAAAGAGTTTCTCATTCGTTTGAGAGGATTGAAGCATTATGCTTTTATAAAATTTTGTCAATTTTTTTGAAAGAATAATGAAAATTTCAATTGAAATTTCAATTGAAAATTTTTTTCATTCTATAAATTCATGATTGCCGATGTTAAAATTAAAAAAACTGATTTAATCTTCAAAAGATATATTATATAATAAAATCGATATAGACCATTTATTAGCTTATTGCTTTTTTTATAGTGATATTATTCTTATCTCTTGCATAAAATTATAAGTACATTTTGTAATGCATTTAATATATGAATTAAAACAATATATATTGCTTTGCATTCATTTAATATCAAAATAAAACATCTATTATGTGTGGGATTAAATACTAATTAAGAAATTAATATAATTACATACCAAATGAATTCAATTAAATTGATTTTTATTTTATTCAAAAAATTAAAGATTCAATTGAATTATTTGAATTGAATTAGAATAAAAAAATATTTACAGGTTATAGTGATTATTTTAATAAATTTATCCGTTTTTTTTTTCTTTTGAAAAAAATTGAATTAAAATTTGTATTAAAGGCGAAATATTTGATTTGTAAAAATAATGTCTTCTGAAGAAGTGGAATATCAGAAACTACAAAATATTGGAAGTGGAACATTTGGTGATGTTTATCTTGTTAAAGAATTGAAAACCGATATATATTATGCAGCAAAAATATCTTCGTCAAAAATTGATGATAATAAACAAACACCAGAAGAAAGCAGGAAAATGTTTCAGAAATTAAATATGATGCCATCGCTCGATCATCTCTCTATTCTTAAATTAATCGGGTTTTATCCAAGAGATTTTTCAGGTAACCCATTTCTTACTATCATTACGGAATTTTGCAATATGGGTTCACTCAAAGATCTGATTAAAATGACCAATCCTCCAAAAGGATGGAATTCTACAAAAAAATTAATTAACATCTACGGTATTGCATCAGGTATGTCATATCTTCACTCACGAAACATTGTTCATCTTGACCTAAAACCAGAGAACATCATGATTGATCTAGACTTTCATCCGAAGATCACAGATTATTACCTTTCCAAAATAAACGGTCAACTACACAAAAATTTTCTTTTCTCAATCGAACGAAAAGTGACAGCCAATTACATTGCACCAGAAATTTTGGAAAGAGAAGAAGAAGCATTTGACAAACCAGCCGACGTTTATTCATTTGCTCTCATTGTCTTTGAAATAATAACAGGTCATCCACTTTTTGAAGGCATTAAAGAAGATCTTGAGAATGTTCCAGAAAGCTATCGTAAATTGATTGAGAGATGCCGGTCACAATATCCGAAAGATCGTCCAACATTTGAAGAGATAGTTGAACTCCTCAAAAATGACGAAGGATTCATCACGGAGAAGATAGATTCATCAGAATTTTATGAATATGTTGAGAAATGCAATTCACGAATCAGCGAAGGGAAAAAGCAAAAAGAAAGTGATAGCACTCAAAAAGAACAAGCTACCCAAATGATTCCAGATTTATCATCTTTAGCCGAAATTGAATGCTATGCCTTCAGTGGATATTTATCATTGAGAGAGATTACAATTCCTCCTTCAGTAACTTCAATCAGATGCCATGCTTTCTGGGGATGCTCATTATTGGAAAAGATTACAATTCCTTCTTCAGTAAAATCAATTGAATGTTATGCTTTCTGGGGATGTTCATTATTGACTCAAATCACAATTCCTTCATCCATAACTTCAATAGAAGAAGGCACTTTTTATAAATGTTCATCATTGAGAGAAATCACAATTCCTTCTTCAGTAACTTCAATTGAAAATTTTGCATTCAATGGCTGTTTATCATTGAGAGAAATCACAATTCCTTCTTCTGTAACTTCAATTGGAGAAGATGTTTTCAATGGAATTAAAACATTAAATGTTTCAGGAAATATAAAAAAGATAGTAAACAGCATGTTCAGTGGATGCTCATCATTGGCTAAAATCACAATTCCTCCTTCGGTGATTTCAATTGGAGATTCTGCATTCAGTGGTTGTTCATCATTGATAGGTATTACAATTCCTTCTTCAGTAACATCAATTGAATGTTATGCTTTCTGGGGATGTTCATTATTGACTCAAATCACAATTCCTTCATCCATAACTTCAATAGAAGAAGGCACTTTTTATAAATGTTCATCATTGAGAGAAATCACAATTCCTTCTTCAGTAACTTCAATTGAAAATTTTGCATTCAATGGCTGTTTATCATTGAGAGAAATCACAATTCCTTCTTCTGTAACTTCAATTGGAGAAGATGTTTTCAATGGAATTAAAACATTATATATTTCAGGAAATATAAAAAAGATAGTAAACAGCATGTTCAGTGGATGCTCATCATTGGCTAAAATCACAATTCCTCCTTCGGTGATTTCAATTGGAGATTCTGCATTCAGTGGTTGTTCATCATTGATAGGTATTACAATTCCTTCTTCAGTAACATCAATTAAATGCTTTGCTTTCTTGGGATGTTCATCATTGACAGAAATCACAATTCCTCCTTCTGTGATTTCAATTGGAGATTCTGCATTCAGTGGCTGTTCATCATTAACACAAATATCAATTCCATCATCTGTAACTTCAATTGGAAATTATGTTTTCGGTGGATGCTCATCATTAACACAAATATCAATTCCATCATCTGTAACTTCAATTGGAGATTCTGCTTTCAGAGAATGTTCATCATTAACACAAATATCAATTCCATCATCTGTAACTTCAATTGGAGATTCTGCTTTCAGAGAATGTTCATCATTAACACAAATATCAATTCCATCATCTGTAACTTCAATTGGAGATTATGCTTTCTATAAATGTTCATCATTAACACAAATACCAATTCCATCATCTGTAACTTCAATTGGAGATTCTGCTTTCAGAGAATGTTCATCATTAACACAAATATCAATTCCTTTTTCTTTAACTTCAATTGGAGACAATTCATTTGAAGGATGCTCATCATTAATTGAAATAAGGATTCCTGCTTCGGTAACTTCAATTGGTAATAATGCTTTTGTTAAATGTTTATCATTGGAGGAAATGGAAATTCCTTCTTCAGTAAGAGAAATCGGATGGACTATATTCAATGGATGCTCATCATTGAAAAAAGTTTCAGTTCCTCCTTCAGTAACTTCAATTGGATGGTCTTTCCTTAGAGGATGCTCATCTTTGGTGAAAATCAAAATTCCTTTTTCATTAACTTCGATTGAACACTCAGCGTTCCAAGGATGTTCATCACTGAGAGAACTTGAAATTCCTTCCTCAGTAAAGATAATTGGTAGTAATTCAATTGAAGGATGTTCATCATTGAGAGAAATCCAAATTCCTTCTTCAGTAAGATCAATTGAAAAGATGGCTTTCAAAGGATGTTCATCATTGAGAGAAATCACGATTCCTTCTTCAGTAACATCAATTGGATATTATGCATTCGATGAATGTTCATCGTTGAGAGAAATAACGATTCCTTCTTCAGTAACATCAATTGGAAATTATGCATTCAGAGAATGTTCATCATTGAGAGAAATCACGATTCCTTCTTCAGTAACATCAATTAGAGAAGGTACATTCCATAATTGTTCAGGCTTAACAGAAATCAAAATTCCTTCATCAGTGACGGAAATCAGAGATTATGCATTCCGTGGTTGTTCATCATTGAGACAAATCCAAATTCCTTCTTCAGTATCTTCAATTGGTGATAAAGCATTTGATGAAAGTTCATCATTGATACAAATCTCATCATCATCTTCTTCTATAACTTCAATTGAAAATAATAAACTAATAAGAGATTCTACAAGTGACCAAGAAAAAGAAGACAACAAAGACATTTTATATATTTCAGGTTTTAAATATCATCTTCCAAACCTAAAATGTGAAATTTGTGGAAAACAAATAGAAACAACTGACA